TCTGTGTGCTGGTGAGGACGTACTTTACTTGTCTGTAGCGATGGCAAAATATCCTTTGAATCACTGGATGAATTGTGGCGAAACTTTAAATCGGTGAATGTATGTTTACAACTGATTTAATTTTGGAGACAATCTGATTCAATATGATGACCACAGGTAATTAAAATTAGCAGTGACAAAAAAAGTTTACAACTCTGTCAGCTATACTGATACTGAGCTAAAATTTGCTGAGGAAGTAGCTGAGAGTCATGCACAACACATATTCCGACTGTGACCTCTTGCAATATTGCATAACCTTGCACACAATGTTATCTTCAAGGTTTACCCAAAACCTCAGCAACTCTACACTCACCGGCCACTTTATTAGGTACACCTGTCCAACTGCTCRTTAACACTTAATTTCTAATCAGCCAATCACATGGCGGCAACTCAGTGCRYTTAGRCATGTAGACATGGTCAAGACAATCTCCTGCAGTTCAAACCKAGCATCAGTATGGGGAAGAAAGGTGATTTGAGTGCCTTTGAACGTGGCATGGTTGTTGGTGCCAGAAGGGCTGGTCTGAGTATTTCAGAAACTGCTGATCTACTGGGATTTTCACGCACAACCATCTCTAGGGTTTACAGAGAATGGTCCGAAAAAGAAAAAACATCCAGTGAGCGGCAGTCCTGTGGGCGGAAATGCCTTGTTGATGCCAGAGGTCAGAGGAGAATGGGCAGACTGGTTCGAGCTGATARAAAGGCAACAGTGACTCAAATAACCACCCGTTGCAACCAAGGTAGGCAGAAGAGCATCTCTGAACGCACAGTACGTCGAACTTTGAGGCAGATGGGCTTCAGCAGCAGAAGACCACACCGGGTGCCACTCCTTTCAGCTAAGAACAGGAAACTGARGCTACAATTTGCACAAGCTCATCCAAATTGGACAAGAGAAGATAGGAAAAACGTTGCCTTGTCTGATGAGTCTCGATTTCTGCTGCGACATTCGGATGGTAGGGTCAGAATTTGGCGTCAACAACATGAAAGCATGGATCCATCCTGCCTTGTATCAATGGTTCAGGCTGGTGGTGGTGGTGTCATGGTGTGGGGAATCTTTTCTTGGCACTCTTTGGGCTCCTTGGTACCAATTGAGCATCGTTGCAACGCCACAGCCTACCTGAGTATTGTTGCTGACCATGTCCATCCCTTTATGACCACAATGTACCCAACATCTGATGGCTACTTTCAGCAGGATAATGCGCCATGTCATAAAGCTGGAATCATCTCAGACTGGTTTCTTGAACATGACAATGAGTTCACTGTACTCAAATGGCCTCCACACTCACCAGATCTCAATCCAATAGAGCATCTTTGGGATGTGGTGGAACGGGAGATTCGCATCATGGATGTGCAGCCGACAAATCTGCGGCAACTGTGTGATGCCATCATGTCAATATGGACCAAAATCTCTGAGGAATGCTTCCAGCACCTTGTTGAATCTATGCCAYGAAGAATTGAGGCAGTTCTGAAGGCAAAAGGGGGTCCAACCCGTTACTAGCGTGGTGTACCTAATAAAGTGGCCGGTGAGTGTATTTGTCTTAAAGTGCCTGTGATGTGCATATCAATGAAATACAAAAAGTCAAAGAAAACATAGTTATATTTAAGAAACTTAGCATAATACACATGATTTTATCCACACAATTGGCCTATTTTCTTTTGAATTTGCTCAGATAAAGGGAAACAGGACGTGACATCAAAGGGGAACTCTTCAAAAAATAAAACTCCCTGGTTTTTGTTTATTTAAATATTATTTGAACTATAACTCTGTCTCATCTATCTATCATAGTGATTAAAACAATCTAAAGTAACATCAGATTATTCTCTACAGTCTGTGCTGTTAGCCATTTTAGCAATGCTCCATTTACATTCAGACGTTCCCCTTTGACATCACTTCCTGTTACTTCACATGCTAATATATCAACAACTGTTCATCTCAGCAGCATGAAATCTTTTTTACAATATGTTATCATTGTTATCTTTCCAAAAAATACATTCCTATTTATTATATTATAAAATGATGTCCCAGGCACTTTAAACTCTGGCATCAAAGATGACAGGTGAATGCATTTATTCAAGGACTGCTTATTTGTATTTCTTTTTATAATAATCCTCTATCTCAAAATCAGGGTTCAGAAAACTTTATTCCTGTATTTTGTTTTCCGTAGCTGCTGAATTATTTCAGCCCTTTTTTATTAATCTTTCAGCCAAACCTTTAAGTGTTTTTAATGATCATGCTCATTTACATTTTATAACCTGTGCCTWCAACTAAAATATCTATAATGTAAAGTATTGCACGGTAAAATGTGCTCRTATAATTACAACTGAACAGAATGAAGGGGAAATATGTGAAGGATTAARGCAGAACAAAGTAAGGATTACAAAAYTCAATGATCATACTCATTTTCTCCATTTCTGATTAAACGYACCRAAAACACAAACTCACATTCATTATTATAACTGGTTTAAGAGAAAAGCTGCAGCACCAGCAGGGTGGTATGTAAAGCAAATGAATATGGTATTTAAAATATTGAACTGCTGGCATGAGGGCATGTAGAATGTAAAATCAGTGCTAAGTACCAGAATAAACAGAAAACAGGGCATACATGACACTGAATCACTGCCTGCTGCAGGGGAGAGCCAGACAGATAAGGTCAGAGACAGGAAGAGCCAGGAAGTGAAGGAGGGCGGGGGGATCAAATTTCACAGTGTCTGTCTGCAGGAGAGGAGTTTTTAGAAAAGGTCAGGGTGTAAAATATGATGTGGTATGACATGAAGTGAGTTTAYTTCATTCATTAATTTGCTTGTGGAACATATTAAACTCACATGAACACTTCAGATCTGAGCAGTGGGTCTGGTTCACATCACTAAATTATGTATTTTTTTAATTTACATCACAGCCTTTTTTATAACTGCATGCTGTTTAAGTGTTTATTTAGCAATAAGAATTTAGTATTTTACCCTTTACCATACGTTGGCATATTAGTCATGCAAAGAAAAATTTGTTAGAATTTGCTGCATGTTAGATCACATTTTGTATGTGTTTGGGAGCTGTGGGTGTTTAAATGTATTCTACACGCCACTTTCTTAAAGCATTACAATGAAATCTAACATATGTGTGCATTTCTAAGTGCTTTTATGTGGGTGTGCGCTGCAGAAATGTGTGTATTCCAGCTGTACTAAACAGCTTTTCATGCCCTCAAGACTGAAACAAGTTCAAGAAATGTCAAACACCACAAGCGCTGGCAAATACTTAAACCTGAGCTTGACCCAGGCGTATACATGAAATGAAATGTTTAAAAAGTGAAACTCAAAATAATGGTAAATCCAAAACTTTATGAAAAAAAGTCTACATTAAAAATAAAATAAAGAAAAGACACAAAACAACACAGAAGAAGAACATATTCACAAGCAAAGATTCTTACAAGTTATGGATGGAGACTATCAGCRAAAGCTAAAACTGATTGACATATAAAGTTATCAGGATGAACAAACYTTATTCTGGTTTTGTGAATTGTAAACTTTTCTAAAAAAAATGTTTATGTATTTACTTTTGTTTTTTGGCTAAGAAAAAGCTATAAGCTGGGTCTAAATCTGTGTCAAAAAATATRCCTGTTTCTGTGACTGTGTCTGCTGCAGTTGTTGAACTTTTTAAGCTGAACCCTTTAAAGGGCCAATATTATGTGTTTCTCTAGCATATATTTAAATACTATACCATAATAAAGTATCTATGTCACCTTTAGCTGTTATTAAAATGCTGTTTTTATGTTTAAATAGAAAATAAACATCTTCTCATCACTTCCTCTTCTAAACGCCTTGAAATTGGCCTGTCTYTTTAAGAACCACCTTCCGCTTCTGTCTCGCCCATTTCAGTGCAGGGGGGTTCGCGCTCRCGAGGGGGTTTGATGCAGTTTACTTGGCATCTGAAAATACATTTCCTCAAAGGTATTTTTAATCAGGAAGACCCAGGACACGCTGGAGGGACTWTGTCTCTCGGCTGGCCTGGGAATGCCTTGGAGTTCCCCCGGAGGAGGTGGAAGAAGTGGCTGGGGAGAGGGAGGTCTGGGCCTCCCTTTTGAAGCTGCTGCCCCCGCGACCCGACCCTGGATAGGTGGAAGAAAATGGATGGATGGATGGATATTTTTAATCTGAAAAGAGCTTCACTGAGTGAGAATTAGTGGAGCTCAGTAGACAGTTTCACTTTCACTTTCACCCGAGAGCCTGCAGGAGTCATGGGCGGAGTGTGTGGGGAGGGGGGCAGGGGGTGGCGCTCCGCCATGAGGAAGCTCTGCTTAAAGACACGTCCCAGGGGCGTTTCTGGTACCAAAATGCGTTTCTTGTCCCCACCTGTCGTTTTGCTCCTCAGCATGGCTTCCTAAAAAAGCTGCAGGATTTCTCAAACATGTATGAATGAGTCAAAGCAAGGCTTTGGGCATGTTTTTTTTATGAGAGTAAAACATTATAGCACGATTTAAACTGAAAAAAGTTGATTTTACATGATATTGCCCCTTTAACTTTTCACTTTTCATTACAGAAGTCTGGGCCTGAAGGAAACCATGTTTTTGGTCTGTGGGARAAACCGGAGTACCCRAAGAAAACCCAYGCAARCAYGAGGAGAACATGCAAACTCCACACACGAACCAGTCCGAACTGGGGATCAAACCCAAGACCYGTTTGCTGTGAGACATCAGTGCTAACCACTGAGCTGCTGTGGTGCCAGTTCAAGCAGCTCTGACCGCTCASTGGAGACACAGAACTTTTTAGTGGTATTCTGGGCTTTCTGTTACTGAGACATTAGCAATAAATCTGTTTGGGTCAGAGAGTCGTGTAAAACAAAGGAGATAAACAACTATTGACATAACATGCATGTTTCTGGTCTGTGAGAGAGGTAAACAGACATGTGGAGAACATGAAGAAAGGCTCCAGTCCATGAGGTGATCCTGAATGAAATGAACGGGCCTGCCTACCTGTGACCAGCTCTTTGATCTCCACGTCCCCCGTCTTCCTCAGCAGACGGACCAAGGCAGGAATCCCCCCGCAGTTCTTCAGGGTCACTTTGTTTTCATCGTTGGCCTTGCCGTAAACCAGATTTCTCAAGGCCCCGCAGGCRCTGCGGTGGACCTCGCTCATCCTGTGGTCCAGCAGATCGACCAGCAGCTGGATGCCTCCCTGTCTACGGATCTGAGCATCAGAGGACCAGAACCAAGTCAATAAACAGTCAATAAAGATTCACACTCATAAAACAACAATCGCTTTATGATAGACTCATGAATTCATAATACTTTAAATGAGAAATGGCATTATTAGTGAGATGATAAATTATTGATTATTGATAGTAAAACATTTATATTTCCATCTAATAGGGTAGTTACAGTGTGTATGTGATAGACTGTACATATGTGTGTGTAGCCTCCAGTATCTGCCAATCAGATTAACAACCCAATGTGGGCTAATTAAACATATTATGACACGGCTAACGGCTGTGCTTTCACAAAAAAAGGCTAACTCCTAATTACACTGATGAGGGAAGGAGAAGTGGTTTTAATCTAATAAAATTCTTAAAAATCACATCTCCCGCTACTTCTTCTTTCGCATGCCTGTGTCTCACCTCTTGATTATCTCACAATCAACATCTTACAAGTGTTTACTTAAATCAATGAATAAACAACATTATGTGTTGGGATGAAAACAAATCTACAAAGAAGCAATCATTGGGTGAACAACGAATGAAAAACGGCGAGTGATGTGCATTTCTTAAAGAAATTCTAGGGCATTTTTTTCAAGACGTGTGAATTTTCCAGCTATTTTTCCTTTTTCATTGATATTCAGTGTGACTGGTGTCCATTCTTTGCGTAGCTGTCAACAGTCCAGACAGAAGTGAAAGCAAATGTGTTGTAGTGCTGATCCACTGCCTTGCCATAAAAATAAAAACTACTGAACCATTATAAAATATTCAGAAAGAAAAGCAGAGTGTCAAAAGGTGTTTGTAGACCAGACACATCAGATTTATTGACTTTTTTTTCTTAAAAGTGACTTACAACAAACCTTTCTACACTTCCCATACCTTCCAGACAGCCCTCTGCTTTGACRTAATAGTGTCACATTTCATGGAACCAAATTGCTTTGTTGTGCGGAGCTGAGCTGCTGTAAACCAGATGGCCTGAGCCGTTCCTGAAACATGTTTTCCTATCTGCAGACTCTTTGAGCTGCTGTTGAAGTGGCCCTCAGTGTTATTCAGTTTTCCTCTCCAGTGAGTCTCTCATCCTGAAGACGGACTTATAGCGCTGCGATCCTCTACTGCTGCCATTGACAGAAGTCCACCGGGAGGGCCAATCCGAGCAGAAACCTGCAGCAGGTGGAGAGCCGAGGCTTTCACTGCTACACCGAGCTCACTGAGGCTGCTGAGCAGAAGGAGGATCAATAAGCTGCAGTCCAAGACAGTTGAGTCTGAGTTTGCCTGCCAGCTGAGGGACTCRGGACTGGATGGCATCATGGGGTCTGTGGGCGAAGCTAAAGGCTGCTGAGATGGATGACGATGATAATCAGCTTCACGTCTATTTACAGCTCGATGTTTGCTCTATTGGATATTGGACATTTGTATATCTGCAACCTTTAATTGTTTTCAAAGCTTTGTTAAAATTATTTTTTAACAGACATGAATATTATTGGCAAAGTTTAATCAGTGAATGTTGCTTAAGCTGTTAGCTTTTAGAATTAGTGCTGTGTGGATCGACATTGAAATATTGACACCACAAATTAGAATTTACATTAAAAATACATTTTTTAAAGAGCACTGAAATCTTATTTGTTTTAAATCTTATTTTG